TCCACTAAAAATACAAACATTAGCCGGGCGTGGTGGCATGTGCCTGTAATCCCAGCTACCTGGGAGGCTGAGGCAGGAGAATCGCTTGAACCCAGCAGGTGGAAGTTGCAGTGAGCCGAGATTGCATCATTGCACTCCTGCCTGGGTGACAGAGCAAGACTCTGTCTCAAAAAAAAAAAAAATCTTCTTTTCTATAAATTGAAGCCAGGTCCTTAACCCTTTCTTCAGTGGAAATTGTAAAGTGTCAACTGTCTCTCATAACATACCACAGTATCTGCTGGAAAATGATGATTCCTATTATTTAGCATCTGGTCAACCTCTTCTCTGGAAAGAGATTTCCTTTCACAGGATAACTTTCTAACTCAATAGGAAAATCCTGGATCCTTCTTGTCATTGCTGCCTCCTTTTTGACTTTTTTCAGAGTGGCTACTTTTCACATATTTTCAACAACTGTAAGTTTCTCCAATTTTTCCCTTTCACAAAGGCCAGGCTCTTACAGGAGAAGAGTCTCATTGCCAATTTGCTAAATGCCTTCTACATACTCAACGATTACTCAATGAGAGATGAGCCAAAACTATCTCTACAGGCTCTAAATTGAGAAACAGTGGGAGCCATCCTGCCATGGACCAGAGAGAATCACAGAGCTCTGTGAAATCGTCTCCAAATTACTGTGGAGGTTCACTGTGCGACGTCTCACCAAAACCACCCTTGTTTGGGGTGTCATATACCATTATGTCAGCGCTGCACACTGAATCACAAATGCTCATCCTCATTCTCCTCTAACGCACTTCCCAGGTCAAAATAACACATGAAGTGATCTGCTTAATGCAATTTCCTATTTTAAGCCTCATGTCTCGATGCATTAACACTTCAAGGCATGTTCTAGTGACCCAGAACAATAAGTGTCCTGACTGGGAATACGCTCGCATTCCACGGAGGTAATAAGTCAGAACGAACACTCACCACGGGACAAAAGCAAGTCTACATGCAACCACCTGTCTTCCTGGACAAGGATATTAGAGGATTTTCTAGGATGGTGCAGACTACATAAGGGATGGCTGGTTGTGCCTTCTGAAGTGAAGCATTCCCACTGTGGCAAGCTCAGGCACCAAGGGCAGAATTAGCCAGGAGGTCACAGTTCAACATTGGCAGACCGGGTTACTTCCACACTTTACTATCCAGGAGGCTTACGAAGTTGAAGCATGGCTGTGTAACGAGGAGGCGTGGATCGGTGAAGGAGCCCCACCCCCGCACACTGACCGTCTTCGCAGCCTGGGAGGGCCCCTGTTCACACACACACACACACACACACACACACACACACACACACACACACCACGGCATCATGCTGCTTTGAACTGGCCAGAGCCAATTTAGCCATTCAAGGCTGTCAGGCTCTTTGCAGGATATACTGGGAAACTGACGATTGTAGGTGAGTAGGCACTATGTCCCCTCCCTAGCGATACATTACCAGGAAGGTGAGTCTCAGACTGAATTCTACCACTTACAAAGCTATCAGCAAGCTGGCCAAACATACAGCCTGTACTATGCGCACAAGTTCCTGACCTCCAGTATTTCAGACATCCTGACAGGCACCTTGCATGGTAGGTTCACTATGAAGCAAACACCGCAAGGCCCTGACAGCAGGGATCTTCTAACCTTCACGTTACATCAGCACACCAAATCTGCCATTAGCTGCAGCTGCCGGATTCCAGACCTCAGGCATGATTCCCAAATTCTGAGACTGCTGGGTTTGCCAGATTCTTATACCTCGGTCAAGCAGGGGTAGAGGGAACTGTTCATTTTTCTGGCCAACCATATGTGAACACACTATTCATCCCACTAGGGAAGCTTCCTTCTAGCGTTCCTTATGCTCATTAGTGAGCCCTGTCACTAATTGCAGGCTTAAATAGCACTGCTTGAAGCACGTGGCATTCTTGCCCTTGGTAGTGGACTGACTTCCCCTTGGCAGTAGATTAAAATTTAGTAACAAACAAATATCAAGCTGCCTACATGAAAGTATTTGAACTTAAGTTATAAATAATAAAATAACTGCAACTAGAAGATGGAGTAATACAGATGCTTGAGTCAGAGACTTGTGTTCAAATACTATTTGTCACAGCTCACTTTAATGAGCCTCAGTTTTCTCGTCTATAAGAAAAGAGTGTTGGGAGGCCAAGGCAAGTGGATCACTTGAACCCAGGAGTTTGAGACCAGCCTGGGCAACATGGAGAAACCCCATCTCTACAAAAAATACAAAATTAGCCAGGCGTGGTGGCACACCTGTAGTCCCAGCTATTCGGGAGACTGAGGTGGGAGGATCACCTGAGCCCAGGAGGTTGAGGCTGGAGTGAGCCAAGATCGTGCCACTGCACTTCAGCCTGGGCAACACAGTGAGACCCTGTCTCAAAAACAATAAAAATAAAATAAATAAATAAATAAATAAATAAATAAATAAATAAATAGAATGAAACTCACACCCATTAGGATGGCCCCTATTTTTTTTTTTTTTTTCTGGAGACGGAGTCTCACTATCACCCAGGCTGCAGTGCAGTGGTGTGATCTCCGCTCACTGAAATCTCTGCCTCCCGGGCTCAAGCAATTCTCCTGCCTCAGCCTCCCAAGTAGCTGGGACTGCAGACACTCGCTACCACGCCTGGCTAATTTTTGCATTTTAGTAGATACGGGGTTTCACCATCTTGGCCAGGCTGGTCTTGAACTCCTGACCTCATGATCCATACGCCTCGGCCACCCAAAGTGCTGGGATTACAGGCATGAGCCACTGCGCCTGGCCTCCTATTTTAAAAAGCACAGAAAACAAGCGTTTTCAAGGAGATGGAGAAATGGAAACACTTGTGCACTGTAGGTGGGAACATAAAATGTTGCAGCCACTATGGAAAACGTTGTGGTGGTTCCTCAAAAAATTAAAGATGGAAAGGCTAGGCATGGCAGCTCACGCCTGTAATCCCAGCACTTTGGGAGGCTGAGGAGGGCGGATCACTTGAGGTCAGGAGTTCGAGACCAGCCTGGCCAACATGGTGAAACCCCGAATCTACTAAAAATACAAAAATTAGCCAGGCATGGTGGCGAGCACTTGTAGTCCCAGCTACGCGGGAGGCTGAGGCAGGAGAATCACTTGAGCCTGGGAGGCAGAGGCTGCAGTGAGCCAAGATCACACCACTGCACTCCAGCCTGAGCGACAGAGCAAGACTCCATCTCAAAAAAAAAAAAAAAAAATTAAAGATAGAATTACCACATGATTCAGCAATCCCACTTTTGAATGTATACCCAAAAGAACGGAAAGCAGGAACTTCAACAGACATTTGCACACCCACGTTCATAACAACATTATTTGCAATAGCCGGAAGGCGGAAGCAACCCATGCGCCCACTGATGGATGGCTAAACAAAACGTAACACGTACATGCAATGGAATATTATCTAATCTTAAAAAGGAAAAAAATTCTGACACATGTGACAACATAGGTGAGGCTTGAAGACATTATGCTATGTGAAATAAGCCAGTCACAGAAGAACAAATACAATATGATTCCACATATGCAATCGTTAGAATAATCAAATGTATAGAGACAGGAAGTAGAATGGTGATTGCCAAGGACTAAAGGAAGGGGGAAATGCGAGTTGTTGTTTAATGGGTACAGAGTTCGTTTTGCAAGATGGAGAGTTCTGGACATGGACAGTGGTGATGGTGACACAATAAAACGAATGCATGTATTGCTACTGAACTGTACACTTAAAAAGTGTTAAAATGGTATATTTTATGTTACGTATATTTTACCACAATCGAACAATTTTTTTTTTAATAAAGGAACAAAAAATCAATTTCATTAGAGTTGTTGAAGAATTAAATGAGATGATGTTTGTGAAGCACTTAGTTCAAACAGCGCCTGGGTAAATTATAGCTATCGTTATATTACTGATGTTATCATTAACAGCTGACTTACAACTTCCTTTAAAACTGTGCATTCTTAAGATGGAGTGGAGTGCTGGGCGCGGTGGCTCACGCCTGTAATCCCAGCACTTTGGGAGGCCGAGGCTGGCGAATCACGAGGTCAGGAAATCGAGACCATCCCGGCTAACACAATGAAACCCCTTCTCTACTAAAAATACAAAAAAATTAGCCAGGCGCGGTGGCAGGCGCCTGTAGTCCCAGCTACTCGGGAGGCTGAGGCAGGAGAATGGCGTGAACCCGGAAGGTGGAGCTTGCAGTGAGCCGAGATCGCGAGATCGCGCCACCGCACTCCAGCCTGGGCAGCAGAGCGAGACTCCGTCTCAAAAAAAAAAAGATGGAGTGGAGTGTGGCCTTAGGAATTCTACTCTGCTGCTTAGATCAGATGAAAGAATGGGCCAGTACTCCTGAGTCTACCCACGAGAACAGTGAATGTGAAGCATAAATGATTCAGGCCTGGCATATCCACCAGTATTTATCTCATCCGTGCTTCCTTGCTGCACCCAGTTCTCTGGCTTACTGAATCTGGATGCCTCCTCCTCACCTGATTTCCCAGCCCCAACAAGTCAGAATCAAAGGCTGTACCGTAGCAGGTCCGCCCGTCTCCTCGGAATCCGATGGAGCACTCGCAGGTGAACTGTGTCCTGGGACCAGGGCGACAGGCCGCGTTGGTGTCACACCCATGAGTGCCGATGTAGCAGGGATTCTGAAGAGCATCAGGGGAGCCTTCTGTGAGGGCAGAGACATTGGAACCAAGTGAGTCTTCAGGAGCTCTTGCAGGTTTCCTTCTTCCACAGAAAGTCAACCACAACTGGGGAGCAAGAAGGTGATCACAGAAGAGCAGAGTGGAATGGGATACCAGCCAATTCCTGTGTTGCCCTGGGGCAGGACCAGCATGGCCCCCGCCCCCCGTTTTTGTAAATAAAGTTTTATTAGGAACCAGCCACGTCCATTTGTTAATGTGTGGTCTATGGCTGCATTTGTGCTACCATGGCAGAGCTGACATGTGGTGATAGAGACTGTATAGCCAGCAAAACCTAAAATATCTACTATCTGGTCCTTCACCAAAAATGCACCGACTCCTGATGCCTGGAGCCACAGGTGCTACAGGAGGGAGAACGCCTACCTTCTTTCTGCTTCATAAAGTTAAAGCGAGGACGAATTAATTAGCTGGAGAAATGATTTGGATATAGAGGAAGAATCAAAGACAACTGAAAAAAAGGAAAGATTTTAAGGCCCAGACCAGACCCAATTATACGGGACCCCCGAGGCTTAAAGATATGGACAAATGTTAAGTCTGACACCGGTATGTCACAAAAGCTCACTAAACCTCAGCTCCTTCCCGACAGCCGGGAACGGGCAGAGACCTGACCACGGCGCCAGCCGGGAACGCGCAGAGACCGGACCAAGGCCCCAGCCGGGAACGCGCAGAGACCGGACCACGGCGCCACCCGGGAACGCCCACAGACCGGACCACGGCGCCACCCGGGAACGCCCACAGACCGGACCACGGCGCCAGCCGGGAAGGCCCAGAGACCGGACCAGGGTGCCAGCCGGAAACGCGCAGAGACCGGACCACGGCGCCAGCCGGGAAGGCCCAGAGACCGGACCAGGGTGCCAGCCGGAAACGCGCAGAGACCGGACCACGGCGCCAGCCGGGAACGCCCACAGACCGGACCACCGCGCAAGCCGGAAACGCCCAGAGACCGGACCACAGCGCCAGTGGTGTGCAGTCACAGGGCAAGCGTTTGTTTTAGGCTCCCTCCCTAATTTTATTTTTTCCTCGGGCACTAACCACACAATTCAGTTGCTTTTTTTTTGTTTTTTTTTGAGAGCCCCGCTCTGTTGCCCAGGCTGGAGTGCAGTGGTGTGATCTTGGTTCACTGCAACCTTCGCCTCCCAGGTTCAAGCGATTTTCCCGCCTCAGCCTCCCCGAGTAGCTGGGATTACAGCCACACACCACCACGCCCGGCTAAATTTTGTATTTTTAGTAGAGATAGGGTTTCTCCATGTTGGCCAGGCTGGTCTCAAAGTCCTGGCCTCAGGTGATCCATCCAGCTTGGCCTCCCAAAGTGCTGGGATTACAAGCGTGAGCCACCACGCTCGGCCCTACAATTTCTTTTTGCTATTGCACCTGGCCCTACAATTTCTTTTTTTCTTTTTCTTTTTTGTTTTTGAGCCACAGTCTCACTCCATTGCCCAGGCTGGAGTGCAGTGGCACAATCTCAGCTGACTGCAACCTCTGCCTCCGGGTTCAAGCGATTCTCCTGCCTCAGCCTCCCAAGTAGCTGGGATTACAGGCACGTGCCACCATGCCTGGCTAATTTTTGTATTTTTAGTAGATACGGGGTTTCACCATGTTGGCCAGGCTGGTCTCGAACTCCTGACCTCAAGTGATCCACCCACCTCAGCCTCCCAAAGTGCTGGGAAGACAGGCGTGAGCCACTGCACCTGGCCTACAATTTCTTTCAAGGTTGAATATTAAAGGGTTTTAAAAGCCCTGCCAATGCCAGCAGTAGCCTTAAGAGGGTCCACTCTGTAAGGCACCTCAACAGGTTAGCATTCTGCACTTTACTCTAAATAGGATCATGAATAGGCCTTTGGTTGGAAGAACAGACAGGCAGCTTTTCGAAGAATCACAAATAACAAGACATTTTTTTTTCCTGCCAGAAAATATTTTAGCATAATTTTCTTCTATAGACTGCAAGTAAGAGACCAAAAATAATGTCAAAGAGTGGGGTTTTAAAAAATGCATGAGCACCTGTGCCCAGCATGAGCTGTGTCCCCTTACCCCTCACAGGCCCAATGGAGTTGCTGAGAGCATAGCGCAGGATCCTCTCCTCCTGGTTGTACAGGACGAACACGCTGTCCACCGAGAGCTGCTGGGTGCTGGGCAGGGCTGGGCGGGAGTCATCGTGGACGCATTCCTGGAAGGTGATTGTCTGGCGCCACTGGTAAGTGTAGACGCGGGAAGGAGCTGCCCCCTCTCGCTCCGGCTCCGTCACTGTGTACTCCCGGGTGGAGGAGGAAGTGATCACTGCAGAGTGGGAAGGAGGGAGGGGACAAGGCAGGAAGACAAAGGGAAGATGGTTAAGGATGCAAGAAGCTGAATCAAGGGCTTTGAAAGCACCAATGGCATTCCCTGCCCATAAGGCTACCAGACGACAGATCAGACAGAACAGCTTAAATAAGACCATTTGTTTGTACTCGGTCTGAGTCTATGAAATACCTGGATTTCCCAAATGATCATTGGCATCATTCATATTATGTATATTTGTTGCTTTTCTCATCAATTGGTTCTCAGTAAGTTTTGAAAACTCCCAGAACTGGAGATGAAGTTCAGGTGGAGAGGACACACACTTGGAAAGAGATGCCCCTGAATTCACACTTAGTACCACTCACAAGCTGTGTGGCCACTGGCTGGTGACTCAACATCTTTGATCTCAATTTCTTTTTTTTTTTTTTTTTTTTTTTGAGACGGAGTCTCGCTCTGTCGCCCAGGCTGGAGTGCAGTGGCCGGATCTCGGCTCACTGCAAGCTCCGCCTCCTGGTTTACGCCATTCTCCTGCCTCAGCCTCCCGAGTAGCTGGGACTACAGGCGCCCACTACCTCACCCGGCTAGTTTTTTGTATTTTTTAGTAGAGACGGGGTTTCACCAGGTTAGCCAGGATGGTCTCGAACTCCTGACCTCATGATCCGCCTGTCTCGGCCTCCCAAAGTGCTGGGATTACAGGCTTGAGCCACCACGCCCGGCCTGATCTCAATTTCTAATACAAAATAGGTCAAGGTGAGGATCAGACCAGGTAATGTATGTAAAATTTCTGGAATCAAGCAGACTAATAGTGTTAATAAGATAAGCTACCATTTACTGAGCATTTACTCTGTCACGACGTGCTAACTGCTTTAGATAGGCTATCTCAATTATGATTCAATAAATGGTGATTTCTTTTTCTTATTTTATTTTATTTTATTTTTTGACACAGAATCTTGCCTTGTCACCCAGGCTGGAGTGCAATGGCACAATCATGGCTCACTGCAACCTCTGCTCCCTGGGTTCAAGCGATTCTCCCACCTCAGCCTCCTGAGTAGCTGGGAGTACAGGCGTGTGCTATCACACTTAGCTCATTTTTTTGTATTTTAAGTAGAGACGCGGTTCCACCGTGTTGGCCAGGCTGGTCTTGAACTCCTGACCTCAAGTGATCTGCCTGCCTTGGCCTTCCAAAGTGCTGGGATTACAGGTGTGAGGTACCACGTCTGGCCAATAAATGGTGATTTCTACATACTGCTCTAGACCAAGCCGTTCTGCAATACCAAAAAAATGAGATATTAAATGAGTTTCAGTAGCCAGGTTTGGAAAAATTACTGAAGCACAGAGAGCAAGCCTGAACAGAGGAGAGGAGAGACAGTCTTCCCCACTCAGAAGAGGGCCTGCTATGGCCCACATGACAAAACCCTCAACTTCCTGTTTTTTTAAAAAAAAAGAAGCATAAAAGACTCTTTATATTTTTGTGCTCTGCTGCAGTTTTCTCCATAATAGAAGGATAAAAGCCAGAGGATAAATAAAAGATCAGTGTAAGCTGCCTCCTATCCAGCTCCCACACGCCAGAAAGGCCATTCAGCTGCAAGCCGGTTGCAACTGTGGTCCTGTTGCTCATTCCTCCTCTTCTCCACTGTCTCCCAGCTCCCCAGGAGAACTCAACCAAACCACAAAACTCCAGTAATTGCTTCAACCTTTCGGAACAGCAATTTAATGAGAGCCTTTAAAAAGGTGGCCAGGCACGATGGCTCATGCCTGTAATCACAGCACTTTGGGAGGCCGAGGCGAGAGGATCACTGGAGGTCAGCAGTTTCAGACCAGCCTGGGCAACATGGAGAAACCCTGTCTCTACTAAAAATACAAAAAGTTAGCCATGCCTGGTGGTGGGCTCCTATAATCCCAGCTATTTCAGAGGCGGAGGCAGGAGAATCACTTGAACCTGGGAAGCGGAGGTTGCAGTGAGCTGAGATCACACCACTGGACCACAACCTGGGTGACAGAGCAAGACCCTGTCTCAAAACAACAGCAACCAAAACCAAACCAAAACAAAACAAAAAACAAAGGTGTTCTTAACCTGGGATTCAATGACCCCCCGTAGGAGTTCACATTCATGAATATTCAGTGGGTCTCTCTGTGAGCAAGACACTGTCTCAAAAATAAAATAAAAAAATTAAAAACTCCTGTTGTTTGACCCAGCACTTCTATTTCTAGGAATTGAGTCTTAGAAAGAATCAATGTGGCCAAGATTTATGATTAAGATGATCATTTCAACTCATAATAAGAGGGGAAAATGGAAGCAACCCAAGCTTTAGAAAGTAGAAGAATGGTTTGAATTAACAGCCATCCAGTAGAATCATACAGATTCCTTAAAAAGTGTTTCAAAGACTGCTTAATGAGACTATTAAACATTCATGATGTGACATTAACTGAAAAGGCGAAGATACAACAGCGTGGTATGATTGCAATTTTATTTAAATAAAAACTGTAAGCCTGGGTAACATGGCGAAACCTCATCTGTACAAAAAATTTAAAAATTAGCCAGGCGTGGTGGTGTGCCTGTAGTCCTAGCTACTCAGGAGGCTGAGGTGGGAGGATCGCTTGAGCCCAGGAGGTTGAGGCTGCACTCCAGCTTGGGTGACAGGGTGAAAGCTTGTCTCAATACAAACAAACAAACAGCAACAAAAAAACTATACATATCACTGTGTATCCATGTTAAATTTCTCAATTTTGATAACTGTACTGTGGCCTTCTAAAAGAATGTCCTTGTTCTTAGGAAAAACAAATGAAGTGTTTAAAGAATGATCTATCATAATACATACAGCTTATTCTCAAATGGTCAGTAAACATATATACACACACACACACACATATATATATACAGAGAGAGAGAAAGAAAGGAGAGAGAGAGAAAAAAAGAAAAGAAAGAAAGGTAAAGTAAATGTGGCAAAATGTTAACAATTGGTGAAGCTAGATAAATAGTATGTGAACATTTTTTGGGTTATTTTCAGTTTTCATGTAAGTTTGAAATTATTTAAAACCAGGCACCAAATGGAGAATAAATGTAGTTTTTAAAAGTACATATAGATGTGGCTGGGCGCGGTGGCACATGCCTGTAATCCCAGCACTTAGGGAGGCCGAGGCAGGTGGATCACTTGAGGTCAGGAGTTCCAGGCCAGCCCGGCCAACACAGTGAAAGCCCATCTCTGCTAAAAATGCAAAAGTTAGCCAGGCATGGTGGCATGCACCTGTAGGCCCAGCTACTCAGGAAGCTGAGGCAGGAGGATTGCTCGAGCCCAGGAGGCAGAGGTTGTAGTGCCCTGAGGTTGCGCCACTGAACTCCAGCCTGGGCTGGAAACCTGTCTCAAAAAAAAAAAAAAAAAAAAGTACATATAGATGTATAATAAAATTACTTTAGCTTGAAATTATGTGTTGGGATATTTGATATACATGTAAATAGATAGATGCTGGAGAAAAGGCTGAAAGGAAATACACTTAAATGTCATAATAATTATGTCCAGGTTTTATAATTCTAACTTATGCATATTGTCTGTTTTGCACAAAATTCTCTACAAGGAGTGCGTCCTACATCTATAATTGGGGGGAAGGTGACTGTAAGGCCCAGTGTATTTCCCTCTCAAGATCCCAGAGACAGCCCCAGCTCACGGCTGCCGTGGTGGGTCAAGAGCACGAGGCTGGTGGCCGGTCCGGGGCTGGCCCTGGGACACGGCTGGGGCTCACCTGAGGTGGAGTAGTGGTACAGCTCCGTGTAGGGCTCAATGTGCACGGAGGAGCCGAACGGAATCTGCGGCACGTGGCCCTCCAGCTCCGTGTCGATGGTCAGGTGCCCATGCTCATCGATGCCGCTGAACCGCTGCTTAATGACCAGCTTGCCCGGGTGCCCTACGAAGGTCACCTCAGCCTGGCGAGTGAACTCACCCCCTGAAAAACAAGATGAGACTGTCACTTTGCTGACTGGGGAGTGCGCCCTTCTGCCCGCCCCAGGCTCACAGTGTGGAGTGGGGTTGGTGCGAACCGTCTGCAGGTGCTTTGGTTTGGCTGGTAGAACATAGAGCTGGTGACGCTGAAGACAGAACTCAGACATCCCTGTGGCCCAACTGAGCCACGCACAGAGGAGAGAAGAGGCTTCCCAGCCACAGCCCAGCATCTGTTGGGTTGGCTCAAGGGTTGTGCTGGAAATAGTGGAGGACAGGGGTTTGACTCCCAGCTGTGCTAGGCTCTGTCTGGGTGAACCTGAGTAAGCTACTTAACTGCTGTGAGCCTCCATTTCCTGATGATTAAAAGAAAGGATACAATCTATGTTGTAAAGGATACAATCTATGTTCTGCAAATTGTCAATTGCTCCATAATGCCAGTTACAGTGATGAATATTGAAATAGCTACTTCCTGGTCGGATGGGTGAGTTGCTCAGGGCGCAAACCATTCCCAGTACCAGAAACCATCCTAGGATCACCTGCTACCGTGACGGCTTGGGAACTCCTCTTGGTCTGTGCAAGGCGGCAGCCCCAGACAGGCAGGAAAAGTACTTCTCCCTTTTCCACAATGACCTGCCCCATGACAGCAGGGGTTGACAAACTATGGCCTCAGGGCTAAATCTTGCCAGCTGCCTATTTTTCTACATTTTCTACAAATGTAAAGAAAGGTCTTTACATTTTTTAATGGTTAAAAAAAATCAAAAGAAGAATAGTATTTCATGGTATGTGAAAATTATATAAAATTTAAATTTCAGTGCCCATTCAAAAAGTTGTATTGGAACACAGCCATGCTCATTCATTTATATACTGTCTGTGGCTGCTTTTCACTCCACAGTGACAGAGTTGAGCTGTTGCAACAGAGACCATATGGCCTAAAATAATTAGGCATAACTTAAAATATTTACTATCTGGCCCTTTGCCGAAAAAGTTTGACAACCTCAGCTTTATAGTTAAACAAGTCCCAGGCAAATATCTCACTGATAACACAGGACCAGGAGAAATTCAGAAGGATCATTGTAGTCAAGAGATTTGCTGTTGTTGGGAATTTGCAAAGACTCCCTCTTCCTCAGCCCAGCTGAAGTCCATGTATATTACAAAATAGCACCAATATAAATTAACTCATATTTAAAAAAAACAGTGTGAAAAGCTGTGCAGGGAAGGAGTGGGGTCTGTGAGTTTGGCTGCAGCTCAATTATATTTGCAAAGAAAAGGGCATCTGGTTTGCATGAGGGCATCAATATGGTTATAACACTCAGAATATATATGCCTGTGGATTAGGGAGAAAAAACATTAGGCCAAAAAGTAGCAAATCTTTTGAGCAGGTTCAATCCTTTTCTTTCTTTCTTTCTTTTTTTTTTTTTTTTTTTTTTTTTTTTAAATACAGAGTCTCGCTCTGTTGCCCAGGCT